TGCATGTTTGTGATATTGGGATGTGTTGAAATAATTACGCATTCATGAAAAGATCGCCCCATCTGTTAATCAATTGGTTCTGTATAAAAAGATATCCGGCACTATCCTCGTTAATTAAAAGGGAAAAACCGAACGATCTGAAGTCATAAAACATTGATCAAATCAATTTTGGCGGGGGAATTAGGCTACGGTGTCCAGAAAGTATCGTTTTTCGAATATGGAAGAGTTCAATTCGAACAATAAGAATAAATTATTCAGAATTCCGCCAATCCCATTCCCGTCAGCCATATCAGAAATTAGATTAATCTATTCAAATGATAAAGCTAAAAATAGTTGTTTTGCAATAATCCCCAATTTCTGCTGTGTACACGCCAAATGGTTAGATTGACGTTGATTTTGGTGGCAGATTATCCTACTGTGCCATATACTTGTGAACCCTTGGTGTATTGGGGGCTCGGGGAATGGCTGATGCGTTGGTGCTCGGGACTCCAAGCATTTATCTCATTATTCACCAAAAAGCGCTCCCATTCAGATCATTTTTATTATAAATTTTATTGTAAAATATGATGTGATTGTTCTCGGACATTCACTAGTTAGTCTGTGATTAAATCACCTTTGGATAAAATAACCCGATTATGCATGCTGGTTAATAATCCCCAGCTATATACTGCCCTATTGCTTCTCCCTGATACTGTTCACCTTCCCCAAGATATTTGTGTTGTCAATTCTGATTTGCTTCTGCCATCCCGAGTTCCATTTGATTGCGACGGAGCGACTGTGGCAGGCACGGAAGCCTTATTGGTTGCGCCCAACAGTGGTTAGCTTTTCCGGATGAGAATAGGACTTCTTGGTAAATCTTATGATCACCGATGAAGCCGTCGAGAGTCGTTTGCTCGCTCCTACCTTCCCACCGAATGGCTCCCCAGACATGAACTGAACCACCATTAATGCGGTCAATTTTACCAGTTTTGATAAGTGTGTTTTCAACTTTTACGACCGTGCTTAAATCACGAAAATACCGATTGATGGGCCTAGTTGATAAAATTTCAGTGTCCGCTCCCTCCGGTCGCACTTAGTCTATGCACACACCAAGCGCAAATTCCCGGGGGAGGGTAGGTTCAGTTACAACTGAGAACAGAAAAGCGCCTACTTCATTAAAAGCATGTTCAATTAGAGCAGGGTGGTTCTGACCTTTGTAATACATCTCACGATTACCAATCATGGAAAGGTATACTAAATCACGTAAAACTGAAATCGGTTTTGGTCACATTTCAAGCTATCTCAGGATATATCACTGAAGAGCCCCTGAATCACATTGTATCTATTGAGTTTCGAGAATGATCAACAATATAAATATGTCCCGTATGACTGGGATTCGAGTCCGGGCTCAAGGGTTTATTGATCNCGTATGAGCCAATCAGAATTGTACTCCAAAACTTGCCTTTAGTCAATCTCAAATGGTATAACACTCATTTGCAAATCGTATTAAATATTTTATAGTAAATAGTATACTATCCGAGGGAGTCTTGTCATCCGAGTTTCACAAATGCTGAGCAGAAAATCTCAAAGTGCATTTATATTGAAAATTTTCCTTTGTCCTCATCGTCTGTAACTGTTTTCCAATGAAATCCTTGAGCAGGGTCCTACTTCACTAAGNAATCCCCAGTGCACTGGTTTTACACCCTAATCATACAAACTACATTATAAATCGGAATAAAATGATCCATTCTATGGGCAAGGTATAATCGGGACTTCCAATGCACCGACTAGGCAACGAATTCTTTTCACCGTTGAAACGGACAGCATCAAACTGTTAAACCCTCACCTGCACCAACACCGCCCCTTTATGCAACCTAGAAATGGTTCATGGAACCGCTCAAACTGCATCCAGATCCCAGTTCTGAAGCAACCGAAAAAGGTGATAATAGGTTCCTAATGAAACTTAATATGTACTGGGATCGGTTTAGACTTGAACGTGTGTAGACCCTGCTTTTCAGGTCAGCCCTTCTCTCCCACACGATTACACTTGAAGTCGCACGATTTACGTTGTTTAACATAATGAGGGGAAACTAAATCGTTGTGACTATAAATTAACCTCTTTTATACATAGATGTGGAGATCTTCATTGCTAAGATTTTGTGTTAATTTCCTAGTAATTTTGATGAGTTTAATGTCGGCCCATTCAAAAACAGGAACGAATTTTTTCGGGTCATTCATATACTACTCATTATGCAAAACATTGAAAGTTGGCTCTGTTGCCGAATTTACTGAGGTTAGTCGCACCGAACTCCCAAAGCTGACACAGAAGCATTGACATGATAATTTGCGGTTGGCTTGTCGCAAGTTCACCTCTTAAGATGCAAACGTATTTTGTGCTGCTTAATTCACATCGAGAGTACCGGTATAAAAATTACGTTGCAAAGGGGAACTGGATATGCGTATCTAATGAGCGGCAAGGTAGTACGCCTCTCGGTTATTATTTCACCGATGTATTTAAAATTAGATTTTAGGAACGAGCGGACGGAACAGGGAAGTTGATCTTGGAATGCACAACTTGGTGGGAGTCTATCGTTTACCTGATAGTCGGATTTGATTGCTCTTAGAAATCATCAGATATCTAGCTCCGGGAGATACACACCCTCGAACAACATTAACACAAGTAGTTCCCCACAATGATGAAAAATTATGAGAGTCAATCTAAACATGCTCTTCTGTTTTTTGGTTTTGAGAAAATTTTCTTCCTCGTACAACATCTTCATTGATGCAGAAAACTACCTTGAAAACAGAGTAATTGGATTGGGCAGTTACCTATCTCGTTCATCGCTTGTGTAATAGACTAATACATGATTTAAACTGGTGTTTTGATGGCTCTCTGTGTGTACATTTGCGCGCATAATATGTTTAACGGGGTAGAAACTCATCATACGTCTGTGAGAGAACAAAAGAAATGTGGGAAACGAGCAAAATGTGCTTATGCGTGTGTGTGTGTGTGTGTGTGTGTGTGTGTGTGTGTGTGTGTGAATATAATTAAACAAGAAATCGCTAAACCGGAGGAGGCAGATAAGGGGAAAGATGCTCACGGATAAATATGAGCAAATCTCCTCTCTCTTCTCAGCGCGCTAGCGTAGTTTTGTTTCGTGTAATCCATACTCTGCCCCACTATTTGATATTTCCTCACTATCCAACTGGCACACATTTGGTAGTGTGAAATCTTCATCCATCCATTGTCTGGTGTCTGTTGCCCTACTATACAATTTCCAATCTCAACCGTGGTACAATTCCCGAATATCAATCATAACTATGTGGTAAATAAATTGAATGCAATTTGAAAGCCTAGTAGTATTATCACGTCATATATCTGCTACAGTGGTTGGATGACGACGTGATCTCCTGAGTGCAAACTAAAGTCATGATTTATCCGTCTGAAGTGTGAGGCTTAGTGTTGGTTACTGTGAGATATCCTCTTTCAGTATCAGTGCAAAAGTAGCTGTCATTTTTATTCGTACAGTTTGCCACGTGACTAAATGCAAACGGGTCAAATTGTTAAGGTATTGAACACAGATAAAATGTGTCCGTTGCCTACGACTCTTACTCATATAACAAACGCAGCCACATCAAAACAACCTGCGTATCTGAAAAAAATCACAGAAACAACTGTTAGCATCTCTCGAAAATTGTTATAGAGATAGAAACCCCTCTGTGATGAACCGGATTGCAATATGTCTTTAATTCACCCATCTCCGCTTCCTCGGATTGTGATATACTCTGGATTTTCCACCAGAAATTTCAATTTAATCAAAACATCCAAACTGATTTTGCATCTTGGTAGTACATAGAACAAACCAGACCAATTATCACATGAATCGAATGGCAACTAGTTCATAAAACTCCCCACCCACCTGCAACCTAAGCCAATTCGTTTGGGTTGATCTCAGCCAGGATGACCTTTTCCCATTAGTGGCGAGCACCCACAGGCGGGAATTATGGCCAAATCTTGTGCATAACACGTAAAAAATGACGTAATAATAGATTTCTGGAATGGTAACCAGCCCTCTCATCAGCGATTGAAATCATCGTGTTCAGCTTTAATGAATTTCTCCAGACGGTTGAGTAACCAACCTGTCCATCGGAGTATCAAAAATGCACGAATTAACGAAAATATTGTTGCTATGGAGTAAATTAACTACATATTGCTTTCAATTTTCGAATTCTTTTCTGTGAGAGCAGTGGCGGACGGGGATAAGACAAGTTTGAATAAATCCATCGAATAGAGTGGGCGCAGTCTACGGATTTAGGCTACCTGTCCATTGTGGTATGTAGCTTACTATTTCAAACCTTGCCGCATACTTCAAATGTTTCCATTTTTCCATGTTTATCAAATTAAGAAGGCTAGAAATAGCCTTATTATTTTATCATAACATGATAGACTAAAATAATAATGAAAGATCACTTTACAGTGGTCATTAAAAGTAGCTGCGCTAACAGGGAGTATCCGGAGTACGCTCAATCGGTAACCAGGTAACTGGGCCGGCAATGAGAGGTGGTCGGCGGGAAAAATAACAACTAGAAACATTTGCATGAATTTCCAATTAATTGATCATCATCTCGGTGCAAAACTGAATCGGTTTCTGTCTTACAAGTGTCACCCTCAAAAGATGACCTTCTTGTACAATCTCGGTCCACCGTAAGGCTGTGATTTTTTCTGGTATAATATATGCCTGTCCGTGCTAAACAACAAACAAACTACTTACTTACTTCCTTAATCCACGACATTCATTCGTTCCCATTCCAATTGGTTGCTCACCGACTGACTGGAGGAAAACAAGTTCGGGCAATTCGATAAAATCTAATTTCTGATTGGTTGATTTCAAGGTCATTCGTCCGTTTGTAAAATGCAGCCAATCGGTCTATCGCATTTTCACGTGTACCGAGGTAGCACAAAACCTAACTGATATTTGAAGCCCTCAACCGAGAATTACTACCAGTGTATCTGTGGTATCATGGCTTGTGTTGCATCGAAGAATGAACAGCATACTTCGGATTCTGCGGACCCCGGTGATCCACGTAATATTAGTGTGGACAGTTTATTGGAAAACCTGGTCAACCCATGTGGCTTAAGCCAATGGCTCCTTGCGTTGTTGTTGATGCTGAGCACTAGCTCGCTGGCTACATTTCCCGTCTACGGGAATTCCGCATCCCCGCATCGATGTCGAATGGAACCAGCGGTTGAGCTGTTCGCACACCACAACAATTTGACTTTCGATCAAATAGCATCGAGAATCGGACCATGGCATGGACAAAACACTACAGTGCATTCCCTACAATTCGGATGTATGCGTTACAAACGAAACTGGACCGAAATGAAACTGTCACCTGTTCTTCTGGCCAATCTATCCACACATATAGAATACACCACCGAGCCATGCCCGTTTGGATATGTCCATCAACAGAGTGCATACCACTATCCCCAGAGTGTGGTTGTGGAATTTAGCACAGTTTGTGAGCATAGTTGGCTTACCCCATTTGGCACGTCAATTTACATGATCGGAATGTTGTTCGGTTTTATTCTGGGCGGTTGGAGTGGTGATCGTTTTGGACGAAGACCGACAATAATGGCTGCCTCAATGCTTGAGCTACTGACTGGAGTCTGGACAGTATTAGCCCCGAACTATACAAATTACGTTCTGGCTCGTGGTCTGATGGCTGTGGGTAATACGGCCAAAATTAATGCAGCCAGTGTGTTGAATTTGGAAATGACTGTAGCACGTTATCGTT